AAGAATTCCGCAAGTAGGCGAATTTTTGGATTTTCAATACTGTTTTTACTTTGTATAAGTCTTAATTCGATTTTCCTGGCTGGTTGTGCTTCGGTATCTATATACGCTGCAAATAAAATTGTTTGTGTTAGAAATAATGCCGAGGTATTTTTTTCGTATTGTAAAAATATTATTCACCTTTAGAATATTCATACGTATTAAGCAGCACGTCATACAGAGAATTAATAGTTTTTTCTATGGTGGCTTTCATGTCATTTTGTAAGTATACATGGGCAAGAAATAACGCGGCAAAAAGGTCTCCTGAACCCGTGAAAGTTGCTGGTATTTTAGGAATATCTACCTTTATTAATGTATTATCTGAAATAAAGAAAGATAATGCAAATCTATAATCAATTCAAAGTTCGTTTTATCTTGTAGTGCATAATCAACCTTTCGCCGCGCTCACTACTGCCGTCAGTTTCTCACTAAGATCAGTTGACGATATAGCTACAGTTTTTGGTCCATTAAGATGTAATTTTTTAATAGCATTCTGCAATTCACTCATATTAGTGATTTTTTCATCTGTAAGTAATCTGAAAAAATAAATAAAAGCAATACATAAGTGATCATCAAGAGAATATACATTAATTTTTAAAAGTTATTAGAAATTTATGCAATTGCAATAATGATCAATCATCAATGTATATAAATGAAAATTAATATCACTTTGTATGTTAAATATCACACATACTCTAATTCGAACTGATTTGGAGTTACTACATCCGCTAATGGTATTATCTCCTCTTTGTAAATTTCTTTCAGTGCTTCTGGGACATACATCTTGCCATTGTCACCCATAACAGGATCACAAACTAATATGGAAAACGTATAATAAATATAATTCATGAACAAAATTTGGTCACATAAAAATTACTGTTAAAAGATAAGATGTACCATATGTAAGATTTGGATTTTTAGATTTCAAAGTTGTGACTAGTAATGCCACTCTTTTCAAGAAGGAGGCAGAACCGATATATCCAGTTAATAAATGTGTATAAGTGTCTAGGTCATTTTGCTCTAAACCATCAACTAGGTCCTCTAAAGCAGTAACTACATTAGAATTATACTATAAATATATCTCATTGCTAAATGAGCATATTTACGTCATTTATTTCTTATCAAGTTTTTACCTAAATCTTTATCATTGAGTACTTGGCCCTTAAATGCTTTGTAACCAGTATGATTGGACAACTGTACAGAGTTTATCGCATCGACCTCAAAGCCTAATAACTAATAGAAACAAATTTATCTCTTAATATCAATACAAAAATTTTAAACTTAATACATATTATTAATATATAAATTATAAACTTATTATATAAATTATGTATTCAATATGTTAGTATTGTTTTAATTCACTCGTGTTTCATCAACTGTATGTGTGTATATAAAATTATTTGTTAAATTGCTACTTATTCTAAAAATTTAAAAACTAGTCTAGACAGTCGAATAGATTAGCGGAAACAAATTGAGCATCAGCAAGAATTATATTTAAATCGGAAAGAATCACAAAAAGATACCAAATTTATTTCTAAATTAATATATAAATGCTAATATAATAATAAGATCTGTCATCGTTATTGCATCTAGAACTTTTTATCTCTGATAAAAGCATTTTATCTCTTTAAATATTCGTATCTTATCTGTAATGTTTTACGTGCCTTTACGACCATCCATGCAAAAAAAAAAAATAATGAGATATCGGATCGTTATGGGATTCGCGAATTTGCAACTGACAATTCATAGATTGGAGGAAAAGGATCGTCGTCGATGGGAATTTGATGAAAAGACAGTCATAAAATTCCTCCATAGGATTCACCTGTAACGGAAAAGTAGCGCTCTTATTGCCGACGTAGCCTGACACTACATGACTCTGGATCGAAAGAATACGAGGCGTCTTCGTGGAATGCATAGTTGATCAGCTGATTCGCGCTTCTGATACACTTGCCGCAATTCACGTTCGTAACAATCGGCACCTGCTATTGCGCTATCTCCTTCTTTCGATTGACCTTGGTTTCCGCACCGAGATTGACGTAGCCAATTGTAATTAGTCGTAATTCACAAATACACGAATTAAATACAGCAAGAACTTCGAAAAATTGATGATGAAACTCCTGGGCCGAGCGTTCGAAGCAAAAACACGTCCTCTCCTGCCGAGTAATTCAAAATGACTGTTACAGAGTACTTTGAACTTTGGAGTCTAGGCTGTTCTATAATCTGTACTGTACACACTAATAGCGTTTTCGGCCCGACCGGGTTTGCACCAACCTGGGTTGGATTAATGGCGTTTTGCAACTTCAAGTTAATACTAATGTAGTGTTTACTGAACACAGTACAGTGTAATTTGACGACAAGTGAGCCCTTTGACATTCTTAAATCTGTTTTTAAAAAATTATGTTACATTATACATTTGGTACTTAAAATAAAATAAAAAAATATATTATGTATATCTTTTGTATAATTATATCAATAAAATATATTATTAGATCTATAAAAATAATTTACAAAAGTAACAGAGTAAAATGATGCGATAATGATGTGTAATACACATAAATAATAATGTAAAATATTTACTTCTTTATTATTTAAGCATCTTAATTATTATATAATATAATCAGATACTAGAAAGAGGAAGATAAAAATTACAAAAAGTTCAACTGTAAAAAAAAACAATTGATTATATAGATATTTTCTTATATATTTTATTTATATCTTTCTCTTACTCGATCATTTTGTCTTAAAAAAAAGTGTTATATTATTATTAAACTTAATTTCGTTATTATTGAAATTATTGAAAAATATTTATATTGATAAGTAATATAATTATACATTTAATGGAACAATATAATAAATACTGATAAATAAAATAGCGTACAATACTACTATAATAATTTGTTCCATTTTGCAAATATAAAAATATTATAATGGAAATAAACTTCATAAAAATTTTTAATTGTTAAGTTTCTTCGCAAAAAAATAATATCTAAATAAAGAAATATAATAAAGAAAAAGAATTTATAGAATATCTGAATGATATATTTTTTAGATCTTATTTATTCTTCTTAATTTATATTCATTAATTTTTCCTTAAATTAATTTTCCTTAAATATTAGTATACGCTCTCGAATTGTTTTGTAAAATCATACATGATCTTATTATTATTCATTGATTTAGATTAATACTTTTTTAAATTTTTGAAATGAACTCAAGGAGTCGAGAGATTCCACTAAAAGACGATAGTGCGTCTGATGCAATTTTAACTCGCAACTGCGCCTCTAAACTTCTCTGCATCTATGACCGGGTGCATGGTGATCCCCTAACCTAAATATGAATACCTGGCGCACCTGAGATTATTCACGATAATTGTTTATTTTCGTGGTAACGCTACTTATTCCTGTGACCGTTTGTAACGTAAGTCATACAGAGCAATTGTGCCGTCGTCGTTTCGTGCGAGTGTCATGATTGTCATAAATCGACGAGCCTGAACCATCATCGCAGATGTCCTCGATCGTGATAATTACATAAATAACCATTTTACAGATTAATGACAATGCTGCAGTTCAGCGCGATGCTGTACACTGCGACTGCTAGGATCGCACCTCGCTCATCCTGGCGTTTCACTGGCTTTGTGGCCTGCAACTCCAGTACGGCAGTCACCGGCGAGATATCCGCCACACCTGTGAATGTAAAGTACAATTAACAGCGATCCAATAATTTTTTCTCTTTGATAAGCTCAATATGATAATAATCTTTATGTTTCACTCACGATTTTTTTTGGAAAGAAAGACTATGTGTGGCTTTTTATTCAGGAAGACAACAATGCTAATTTTTCAAAAATAGAAGCCGTTGTACAGAAAGAAGAGGAACAGCAACCTAAGGATACGAGTTTCCAGACAACATTTCATATGACAGAAGAAAGAAACGGTAGGAAGAAACGATTGAATGACAGCAACACAGTATTTTTCAAGCAATTTCAAGCTGCCAAGTCTGTAAATGATTTGTTGGACTTGGCAGTATTACCAAACCTGTCTACAAGTAATGCTCTGAAGCTGATATCGAGCATAACTAATCAGATAAACAGTGGGAAATCGCAGACATTAGACATTGAGACTGATGAACGATTTATTCACCTCAGCAAGATAGTTAAGAATGATGAGAGTGATGAGGTGAAAATTTATAAAAAATCAAATAATTTGTCTAAATACTCTCAATTATCCACACCTGCAATGATTGAAGTGAGTATGATATTTGTACACACACAATTTTAACATATATAAAAGTTGATATATTTTTATACGAGAATCTATGCCTGCAATATTGTCAGTTATCTACATCTGCAATAATTGCAGTAGATACGATGTATATTGAATATATGTATTCACATATTTTTATATGATGAAGGTGATAACATCGTTGAGAGAACAAAGAGACAGAAATACTCCACTATTAAAGATGTTGTCGTACAATATTGTCAAATACAATATAGCATTAAATTTGAACCAATGTGCGACTTTGTTGTATAGCATGGCTATACTTAATTTTCCAGACAAGGTATGTATATCATATTTATATGGATATATATATATGAAACAAGGATTTATTCTATTTGTGAAATATAACATACATAATAGGTCTTGTTAGAAAAAATCGCATCTGACTTACTGGAGTGTGTACCAAAAAGCAAGAACGCTGCTTTAAACAAATCCATAATAACGTCACTAGGATTTCTGCGTTACAAAAATACAGATATACTTGATGCACTCTGTAATACCTTATTTTTGAACTCAATGGATTATAAATTTCTGGATTATTCATCAATACTACAAACGTTTGCGGCTCTACAGCATAAATCCCTGAAAGCAAACTCGTTTCTCGAGGTATATTGAGAGAATTTCATGTTTTCATTTTTATTTTAAATATTTGAAGTTTCTCTTCAAACGTAAGAAAATTTTATTTTCTTTGATACAAATATATTTTTTTGATTATTTTTGTGATTAGAAATTTACAGAATGTGTAAGCCCATTCCAAACGTCTTGGATTGAATGGCTGGATATTACTTGGGCCTTAGCAGTTTTAGGTGTAGTGGAACCACGACACGTAAAAATCCTGCTGGATCCTGTATTAGTAGAAAAAAACGGTTTGTATCTACTTAAATAATGTATCTAAGATTTATTTTGTATCTATATATATTTTATATTGTATCAATATTAATTTCTTATGACTTTTATAGCCTTTAATCAGTTAAATATATCAAAGATATTAAAATTATTAAATATCAACGCTGTGGCACAGTTTGTACTGAAGGATTATGAAGGTATACATTCGGATATGTTACATATTTTAGTATATTTTCAATAATTCATCAATACTTATATTGTTTTAAATTACAGGACCTTTTTTAAACAAAGATTCAGAATTTAATAATGTATCTATAGCTAGATCAAAGGAGAAACAAATGTACATAAATGCGTTATTGGAAACATTAACAGAAATGTTACCGTCTCCGTCTTATTTTAAAATAAATTTTGATACAAACATGGGCTTTTTATTAGGTAAGTTTTTTAAACCAAAAATTAATGCTAGTATAATTTCAAAATTGTAAATGTGTTAAGAAAAATATTATGTTAAATATTGCGTTTTATTTATTCATAAATAAACCATTAGTCTATTGATATCTAAATAAACTCGGCAAAATTATGTACTAATATTAATCCATTTTTTTAAATAAAAAATTTGAAGTAAGTAAATGCAATTTTGTTAAATAAAAGAGTACTATTTTTAGATGCTGAATATCGCATAAATAGTGAACACAGGTTTATAAAAGTGGAAGATTGGAATGAACAATCGAATAATGTACAAAGGTATGGCACGTATTATTAATAAAAAGAGCTATACTTTAATATTGTTTTAGTGAAAATTATTCTATAATTTAGTCAAAATTTTAAAATATTCTATTCATTTCCAAGTGATAAACAATTATAAAATTTTAATATTTAGATATAAATTAATAATAAATTAATAATGATCATGTATAACTTTCAGAATAGCAATAATGGTGCACGATTACCATGATTATTGCATAGGACAGAATGATCTCGTAGGATCGCAGTATTTATATACGCAATTATTAAAAGCCAGAGGATACGAAATCATAACAATTTCTTATGAAAATTTCAGTGTACAGGACAATGTAAAAAAACGAGTCAACTATTTGAAACAATGCATGAATCGTATAAAAGAAACGAAATCAGCAAAACAAATTAAATTGATATAGTCCAATATTGGCTTAGTTTAATAAAATCCAAATAAATATTTAAAAGAAATGTATAAAAATAGATGCTTTCATTATTCCTTATACGTTCTATAATTGGAAATTAATTAAATGTTATTGCTTGGTTACTAAATTATCTTATTTTATTACTGCATTATCATACCGCAAACTAGTGAAAAAAAGGATGAATAAAAACTGTTTCTTTAAATATCTACAATCTTTTTATCTCTTGATAGTAATTTTATTTACATCGAATATTTTATGTAACTATAATTATGAACTAGCTACTTTACTCTTTATGTCTCACTGCTGTTCCAACAAAGATCACTGTGGTGGCTGCCAAGGTTCAATCTTTGGTCTTGTGGTGCTATAAGGTACATAAGCTTGATTTGTGCCACTCATATTTTGTTGATGATCCATCATCCATTTATACTTTGGTCGAGATGGATCTTTGTGTGGTGGCAAATCTGTCTTGTAATGCAACCAACCAAACCATTCAGGTGGGACTTGTGAACCATCATAATTCAGTCCAACTCTATCTGCATATATCACCCATCTGTTACGACCTATAAAGAATATTAAATAAACATGATATTAACTGTATTTTACACTGTTATATACTTTAAAGATTATAAGATTAAGGATGCTTTCTAACAAGAGACAAATAACTATGTAACAATGAATCATATATCCTTGTTATTTATTAATGTTAAATAAAATGATTATTATCTCTTGCTGAAAAGCACCAACAGTATAACACAGTGAATTATTTCATCTTTGTTTAATATTAGCAAACAATATATATAACAATTTAACTAAGTTTAATGGATATAATGATTTACTAAGGATACAATCCATTTCAGGCATGATGTGCATAATGCATCATTTATTCCTGTTTAACATTTGGTGAATAACAAGGATAAACGATGCATCATGGGTATCATACATAAAACGGAACGCAGTCTAAGTTACATTGGTTTTCAATGTTCAGTTTAGATACTCATGCTCTATAAATTTCATTCTATCTTCCTTATGTGGTACGTAATGAGCGATAAAATGAAACTTATATTGCTTGAGCAGTCAAATTAAATGTAGTCAGTGTCATTCATGTCTTGCTGAAAAGTATCTTAATAAAAGTGACATGTCCGTATAGACATTTATATCCATATTGATCTGACATTTATACTTATACTATATTAATGTACTTAATAACTGACCTATAAAGTGCATATTATTCTCATAGTATCGATTGCCATACTTGTCTTCTCCGATCAAAGTACCACTCTTCAATTCATCCACTCTGAAATGAATTTATATTCACTACATTAATTGTAAGAATATTACGTTGGCATATTGCATTTATATTGCAAAATATTTTCTGCAGAAATGTTATAATACATTAGTAAAATTTGAACAAGCTGCAAGAGCTCAAAGTCAAATACAGAACGGAGTTACACAATACTAATCAAAATGGTAGTATTTTGAACATTCGCTGTATTATTAATATAACGTATAACTGCCTAATAACCTGAAATACGTTTTGAAGGAACCGATAATACCACCATGGTCGCGTACTGTACGAAATAATGTCACTAATTTATCCAACCCTACTAACTTTATCAAATTTGCCATATTTACTTCTGTGAGTAAAGCGTGAAGTTGGCTAAAGTCGATTCGGTAGGGTCGCCAACATTTAAAGTCACTCGATACGTCCTAGTTTAATTTATGGCATCTAGGAATTTACAAGAAAATAGTTTGGCGATCTTGATTGTTTTGAACACACCATACTTTAGTTTATAGGTTATTCTTGTTGCGAACATTTTCGTTCGAGATTGTATACTTCAAATTGTAATAAAAAGAAATATTAAAACATGATTTCACGATAGACAAATTTAATATACTCAATGTCGTTAGCATTTCCGTTGGGATAATTGTGTGATCGCTTTTATTGTTAGATTCAATAAAACAAATTTTTATTTTTTTTTTTTAGAAAAAATGAATAAATTAACAGTTATTGAAAAAAATATGCGAACACAGTTGCGATGTATAATTCGTATGAATACGACTAGTGCAAAACAAAAACAAACTCCGACCGAGTATTGTTTGCAGCTGGTTAGGTATTTGTCTTTGCTTTGTTAAATTGAAGCTGCACAAATATAAACAAAAATTGTACATTTATGTTTATGTAATAAATGTAATAATATTCTAATGTATAATATAATATTAGTATATACATTCGAGATATTGTAGTATTGCATTCACTTGACATATTTAAATAAATTTTTCAAAATTTCTAATTCCTGAGAAATGGATATACTTGGTTGTGTTTCTCTGGAATAAAACTAAGTAAATAAATTTTCTTGCAAGTACATTAAAGTAATTGTGCAAGTTTGTGTATAACAAAATCAGCAAAAGCTCCAACAAAATCTACTTAAAGTTGTATTTATCGATTGTTTTTCTAGGAAGAGCGATTATGAGAACTTTCTATGTACGCTATTACTTCCTCGTAGTATTAAATCGACGGCTTTTGCTGTACGTGCGTTTAATGTCGAAGTGGCACAAGTGGAGGATCAAGTGAGCGACAGTAGGATAGGTGCTATGCGATTACAGTTTTGGACAGATGCTCTGAACAGAATTTATAATGGTAATCCTCCGAAGAGTCCGGTGGCATTGGAATTACACAGGGTACATAAATATAGAACGCATTGTTCCAAGATACATTCGCATGACTGTTGCTGGAAATCAGAAATCTTTCGCACTTGCAGATCCTTCAGCAACACAAACTATCTAAACGTTATTTCAAGCGCTTAATTGACGCTCGCTTGAACAAGCTAAGTAGCTCAATATTCGTGGATTTGGAATCACTCGAAAGATATTGTGACTATACCACATCATCAATTTATTATTTACTGCTAGAGGCACAAGGTATAGCGAACGTCAATGCCGATCACGCAGCTAGCCACCTCGGCAAGGCACATGGTCTAGTCACCTTGATACGTTCCGTGCCATATAATGCCCGGAAACGAGTCATGATATTGCCACAGGATGTTCTGCTAAAACACAGCATCTCCTCTGAATCCATCTTTCAGGGACAATCAAGTGCTGGATTTAAAGACGCTATACTTGAAATTGCATCTTGCGCTAAGCAGCATCTGAAAGTGGTATAATAAATATCTCAGTAACATACGTGGGATTTAATTGACATCAGTCTGCATCTACGATTCGCAATTTTTATGTTTTTGCATTTAGATAAAGAGTTCGGAAAAATTTTCGATTTATACGACATTATTTCCTTTGTTTTAGGCGACATCGCTTAGAAAGACTGCGGGGAAGGATCTTAACGTGATATTTCTACCAACAGTTTGTGCGGAGAATTATTTAGAAGAATTAAAAAAAGTAGACTTCGACGTTTTTCACCCGACATTACAGAGAAGAAATGGCATCCTTCCATTACAATTACTGTGGAGAAAAATGTGGTCTTAGGGTGACTTTGACCAGACTCCAATTAACTTAATCAGAGACTGATTCAATTGGCAGTTTTGTTGTAAGATCTCTAGTTATGTATAATTCGTTGTCTCTAATTTAATCTTGCTTTTCATTAAACAACAAAAAGTTTATTCTATCCATATTAAAAATTATTATAGACAAACTTGTGTTTAGGATAACTTTGATCAAACGTCAATTAATTTATTAAATAGTTGTATGTACATACTATTTTATTTACGTAGATAGAATTAAGTTTTTGTTAATACATGAAAAAACGATTAAATTGGAAATAACGAATTATATAGTTAAAAATTTGTTTTAAGTAAGCTCCTGATTGAATCACTGATCAAGTTGATGGGAGTTTGTTTAAAGTCGCCCTTAATTATTAAAGTTTGAAATTAGTTAAAAATAACATTTAATATGATTTAGTCATTTATTATCCTAATTCCATTTAAATTAATTTAAAAAATTTCAGATCGCAGAGAATCAGGGTATCAATCATGAAATTTTATCCCTAGGATGGAAAGTGAAAAGTGAAAATTTTAACCATCGAAATTAATGGAGAAATTTTTCGGGAGGATCCCGTTTGCCTACAATCCTGATTGCACACACCACTCGTATCAGCTGGTGCCTAGTAATTTTTTACTGCTTTACCAATGAGAATATTTTATTTTTAAATTGGCCAATTAGCGACGCATGTGTGCAACATGCAATGTGTGCAATCGGAGCCTTCCCATTGCGTCCTGATTGGCTGATTTTTCGTTTTGTCCAAATTTTTTTAGCAGCAATCAATAATTGTACGATTTTGAAGGCTTTTACGTGTATCTGACGGTTTTTATCCGAAAAATATCCACAGGTTTTAATTTTACAAATATATATATATATATATATATATATATATATAAAAATATATATATATAT